AGAAGTGTGAAATGCAGGACCTCTAGACTGAAAAACTCTTTCTTTCCCTCTGCCATCAGACTCCTAAACAGCTGAGGAGTTTACTACCAGGAAATATATGTACTGTTTACATTCTGTTTGCACATTGACTGTTGACTGCTGCACATGCTGCTCCCATGCAGCATACATTCTCTTATTATATTCTGATATATTTTTTTTATATTGCTGCATTTGCTGCTTAAAGTGCCTTAGATGTTGTTACTTATTTATCTACTTTATATTTCATTTGTATTTTGTGGCATTCATGTGGACGGCAAAGTAAGAAGTTCATTGTACAGGGAAACACGTTTCCTAACTGTGCATATGAAAAATAAACACTGACTTTGACGTCTATCTGGGTCTCTACTAATATTAAGTGAACCTCTATGCTCTGTAAAAACGCATGTTTCATCCTTATTTCAAACTTCTGTGGACTTCCTATGGACCCCCTAATCGAACCAACTGAAAGTTACAAGCAGCAGCTGGACCTCAGAACCTGTTAGAACAATTTAAGAGCATCTCCAGTAGAACCCTGCTATATATTCAACCTTAGTGGTAAAACAAAAGTTAGATAAAGACAACAATAACCTACAGGACCTCTGCTAGAATCTCTCCTGCCCATTAGGGCCAGAATCACAGACTAAACAAGGCTAAGACCACAGGGTCCTAGTCCAGTGGTTCCACCACAGTGTGGACAAGTGATGTTCTAACCCAGTGAGATTCCATCAGGGAACTCATCCTTCAGGTCGAAGACCTCCCCGAAGGCTCGCAGGAACTCCAGCACCATGAGAGCTTCTCCAAAGAGTTCCGCAGGAAGACGGGTTCTCACTGGAACCGGACTGGGCAGCTCCTGAAAGAACCAGAACACAACACAGATCCCAGTTCAGCAGAAGAGAACACTTACAGGTCTGATCCAGTAGATTTCCAGTCTGTCTGTCCTCCCAGCACATGGTAGTAAAAGATAATTCAATAGTTTCACACTGATATTTAAGGGTCAAAAAGTAATTAAACCAATAGTTAAGTGATTTTTTTTCTCCACCTTAATTAAAATGTTCTGCATGTGGATCTTACGTGGTCTGGTTCACACAGATGAGCTACAACCATGTTAAACTGAAGAATAGGTCATCTCTCTATCCATCTATAAAAGTGTTAGAAAACAGGGAAAAGGTCCGATATAATTTCCCAGAGCCCAAGAGGAGGCCTCCAAAAGTCTTCATTTGCCCTGTGACCAGTTTCAAATGACAGAAAACATGAAGAAGAGCAACAGACAGGACGCAGATGTCTGTGTACAGAATGAAGACATAGATATACAGTCTGGACACGTTACTGAGCAGCTTCCCACAGAGCTGAGCTGTGCCACGCTGCCTTACCATGACATTATTTGCATGATGCAAATACAAACAGGAAAATCCTCCTGTGTGCGTTTTTAATCTATCCATTCACAGTCATCCAAACTTTTGGGTCCCTGATCACCGATGGTCCTGGTCATGCTTAAGTTAATAGGTGGTCCGTTCAGTCTTATGTTACTCTGAGGTGTCACAGAACAGCTGGTCCAGACTGAAACCACTGGATCAATGTGACGGCACCGATGGCATCCTGTGATGCTAAAGCTGGTTCAGAAGTTGGGACCTCCTGCTGTGACCTCCAGTATAACGATCAGTGGAGAAAAATGAAAAATCGGCAACAGCTGTTTTTCATTTTCCTGTGGAACTCCTCGCATGTATCTGTGTTTGCAGACCAGCACTTCCCATCTCCCCCTTGATTGTTTCAGTTTGAACACGCCAGCGGCAAGGAGTCCAACCTTTTCTACCTGCTGCCGCTGTGTGATCATGGCAACTGTGAAAAATCCAGAGAGGAAACGAACACAGGAGCCGAGTTTTCTGAAGGAGACGCCAGTTTACCAGCAGACAAACCGGGTTGGAGCAACATCAGCTGATGATCCAGCCCGAGACCAACCTGCTCGAGCGTGCCGTCATACTGCGAACCATTTCTCTGGTTTCAGGCTACAATCCATTGTGTTTAGCAGCGTGGTGAGACTGTCACAGCGCTTTCTGAAAATGCATTATTGTCTTTGTTTTACATCCCAAGTTTCTTATAAAAACCCATGTCTCCCCTCACTTGCCCCCTAGTCCCGCCCATGTCAGATCAGACAAAAAGATGTGAGGAAAGAGGAATCAAGGAAGCGTGTTTTTAAAGACATGAGACATCCTTTCCTCCGATCTGTCATCTGAAGTGTCCAGTCACAGAGTGATGTGCAATAAACGGGTGTGTCGCTCCATGAAGGATGCCCTATTGTAACCTGAGTCATGGCTCCTCCAGCAGCCTCCTTACTCCTCAGAGCAGGAAGAAGAGCTCTAAGCTGTCCTCGATCTTCAAGGAGGGAGCACGTGAGAGGCTTGAGATGTCCCCCATGTCCTTTGATGGCATGACCCTGAGGTTTTTCTTTGGGAAAACTCAATACAAACCAGCAGCTCACTGACCTTCAGGTCTTCACACTCCATGTCCTCTCTGGGTTTGTTCCACCGTTTCAGGTGTTCAGCGTATTTCTTCTTCTCCTCCTTCAGCTTCTCTCGTTCCTGTAACCAGATCACAAAAATGTCTCAATGTATTGATTCAATCTTACATACAAGCCTATGAAGATGAGAAAGCTCACCCTCTCTTTCTCCAGCTTCCTGCGCTCCTTCTCATCCCTCCTTCTTTGCTTCTCCTCCTCAAACCTCCTCCTCTGCTGCTCCTTCATCTTCTCCTTGTCCTCCTTCTCCCTTCGCTTGGCCTCCTGCACAGCCTCCTTCTCCTTCTTCAGTCGAGCTTTGTCCTGAGCTGCAGCCGCCATATCCTCCCTCTGCTGCAGCAGCTTCAGCTTCTCCTCAGCCGCCTTCAGCAACAGCGAACTCGCCTAAGACACACCAGAAGCTTTACTCCTCATAAATACTGATCAGATCTATGAAATTTATCCATGTCACCAATCAGAAATATTCAGCTACAGAAATCTAATAAAACTTGAGCACCACTTCTCCTCCAGGAACATTTTATTGTGCGACTTGAATAATTAAACCTCACAGTCTGAATGAGTGAGAGTCCATACATAAACAAACTGCTGCTACATTTCTGTTTGTGTGCAGGTTTCTGCAGGGTACAAACTAAACGTGAAGCTTCTTAGAGCTTTTAATTCCACATAGAAATCAGTGTAATACCAGTCAAAGGACGATGGAAAACCAGTTGTCAGAGTTATTTATTAAATGCATTAATTTATTGACATTTATGATCCTAATGCTGCCACTACTTCCAAGCAATGCAATTAATTAATGTGACCTGTATCCAGATTAAAGTGGCTGAAAATGGATGTGTAGATTAGTCAAGGAAAAAAGAAAAACTATTTTGCTCAACTGAGCTTGTAACTACTGCAGCAGCAGGATAAGTAGCAGTAATGGTAGTACATAGTAACTCCACACAAAAACTACGAGAAGGTCTCCTGACTGCCAACCACTTTCTTTGAGAGAGAGAACTGACTGTTTTCCATCAGTAATAGGAAACAAAAGCGACAACAAAACATAAGCTCTGTATCGATGAACTCAGACTTGCCCTGCAGTTGGTGCTGATCATCATTACACTCCTGCATTGAGGGATTTTTTTTTTTAAAACTATGCTTCAGTAACAACTACACAATCTGAGGTGACAGTACAGAAGCCAACACGGCTGATAAAGATCAGAGACGTGGATCAGGTCTTTACAGACTGCAGCATCCCAGTTTCTCCAAACCAGGAACAGGGCTTCTCTGTGCTTCTGAAACCAGGATCAGCGTATCCAGGATCCTCATGTAAACACACACACTGACTAGTAGTTCCTGTGCACAGTCAACACTAAGGTGCTGAAGTGATCCCATCAGCTCGTCACAGGTGGGTTTCCTCTTCTAGACAAATCTGATTTCTTTAAGGCCGATTTAAATTAAATCCACTGGTCTCAACATTCTGTGTCCTCCCTGCTGTGAGGCTATATTAATACATGACACCGCACAAAACAGACATTGTTCTCACCTGGCCAGGTGAGCCACGCCCTCCGCCTTTCAAGGGGGGGCTGAAGGGGAACAGGGGGGGCTCATCAGGGAAGAACTGAGAGAAAGTCTTTTCAGAGAGCTGGTACTTTGTCACTGTGGAGGGCTGAGACACAGGAAGTGATGTCATTAACAGCTGAGCTCAGAGGTGATATGGTTAGTAAACACTGATCCAGCAGGTAACAGGGCATTGTGGGTAAGTCTAGGGTAATGTACTGACCTTGAGTGTGATAGTCCCGTTGTGAGGTTCACAGTGTTGTTTGAAGAGCAGCTTCAGTCTCTCTCTGGACAGAATCGTCTTCCTGCGACTGAACAGACACAAAGAATTATTAAATTGAGGTTAGTCAAATAATTAAGTTCATGTTTTATCCTCCAAATATGTTCCTGTTGGAGAGTGGACTTAATGGAACAAACCTGAGGATGAATGAAAAACATTCTATAGGTTCAAAAATGTTTAAAACATTGCATGGAACAAGAATCTGGTCTAATGTGTCTTAGCGTTTATGGATGTGAGACTTTTAAGTAAACCGCTGCCCAGGGTGGCTTTGTTTAACGAGCTTCTGGTGTTACCGTCGGGTTGTAGATGCAGAGCACCAACATGCCAAACAAAAAGGTTTTACAAACGTATCTGTCCCAGCCACTTGTGGTTTTACTTGAAGTTACTATAAATGGCTCATGTGGTCTTACCAGTCATTAGTGAGGCTGTCCTGTGCTGGCACTGTTCCTATTCTGTTCGTTTTGATTTCATGTTATTTCATTGTCACTGTGCTGTGATTGGATGTGATTGCTACTGGCTGTACAACAAACTGCCCTCAGGGACATTAAAGTATTGACTGACTGACAGTGAATGGCAACTGGTCTGGGGGAGGGCTGCTCACGAGCTTTGGCTTCAGTCTGCTCCTCTCTGGTCTCATTTAAGGGGAAAGTGAATATCATCTAAGAGTGTGGAATGAAAACCAGTCCCAGATGAACTAGTGGATGTGTGATCAATGTCAGAATTCAAAATAAAGACAGACAGGAAGGAAGCAGCTTGTCCAGGTGACAAGTCTCACCTGATCTGATTGGCTCTGACTGTGAATGGCTCGACGTGCTTGTCCTTCAACATCCTCAGTGTGTATTTAAACACTGATGGACTCAGAGGCTTGTTCTTCTTCCTGCTGTGACACACATACACACACACACACACACACACACAGTAACACTGCACACTTTAACGCTTCGCTCATCCTACTTTACATTTCATTTTTTATTGTGTGGCATTCATGTGGACAGCAAAGTAAGGGTGTCATTATACAAGAAAACACGTTTCCTAACTGTGCATACGACAAACACTTTGACCTAACAAGCAGATGACCTTTGACCTACTGACCTGTTGAACTGTGCTACAGGACTCTGGAAGGCGCTGCTCTCGTCGTCGCTGTCACTGATGACGATGATGTCGCCGTCGGCCGGCTTGCTGTGGCTATTGGTGACCAGTGCTCCATTAGCACTGTAATGAGGCGAGTGAACCTGCAGGATCTCACAAACATGTCTGCAACACACACAAACAGCGAGGTCACAGGCCGAAAGTCAGCGCACACAAGTGTGCGTTTAGATGTGACCGAGTCAAGACCGTGAGGAAAAAAATCACACGTCTGAAGACAATTACCCCCATCAGGCAGTAATATAGAAATTACACAAAACTGATTTAATATGCAGAACAGCATCCCTCAGGTGTATGTGCTACATAAACCCAGGCTCATGATGCTGTCAGTGCCCCCCTCAGTACCTTGCTCCGTTGCGTCCTGCAACATCCACCACCTCTCCAGGGAAGAATCGGTCTTTGACAAAGGTGTAGACGTCTTCACAGAGCTCCGACAGTCTGCAGCGTCGGCTCAGAGCAGCCAGGTGCAGAAGGGGTACCAGCAGACACTGAGGGAAACTCTGAAGACTTTGCTTCGCCCGCCGCTCGCTCTCCACTGCCTCCAGGTACGTCAGGCCCACTCGCCCTGTCAGAGCACAACTCCACACCAGGCTGTTACACAGGATGGTCCTCTCAAAGAACTCACTGAAGAGGAGGAGGAAGATAGTGTATGTTACTTCAGGGTCAGACAAAGACCAAGTCTGTGTCTCATGTGTGGTCCCACAACACCTGCTCCTGTTCTGGAGCTATTCTCAGAATATTTAAATAAACATCTGGATCCAAAATATTCTGTCAGCTACAACGTATGCAAGATGTTCAACTTGTTTCTCAGGCTGTGACTCTGCTTCCCACAACAGTACACAGAAATGACAAATGAAGACACACTGGCACTGATAATAAAACGTGATGGTTGACTTGAGGGAAAGATTCACCAGCCTACTATTTCCTCTTTTAGTCAATTAACTCTCTGTACAGCTGCAACAATTAGTTTGATATTTAACTGTTCAGAGTAAATTTGTTTTTTTCCAGCTTCTCAAATGTGACCCTTTGCTGCTTTTGTCCGTTCTGTAACACAGAAAACTGAACCTTGGACAAAACAGGACTTAGGAAAATGCCATCTCGGGCTGTAGGAAAAATACAACAGGCATTTTACAAACAAAGGGACTAAATGTGAATATAATCAGTAGATTTATCATTAATGAAAATAATTATTGCTGTGCGATGGATCACCTTCTCTGTGGATGAGGACTCATATCTCAGTCTGGATAAAGTCAACAGAAAAAAGAAACGCATTTCCCCAACACTTTGTTTTTCCAACATCCTTTTATAAAATTCACTCAGTAGTCAGCTGATATAAATGTGGTGGACAAAATAACAGAAACACCTGTCAGTACAACTCGGAAGAATTCACCACAAACTACAGCAGAACTGGACTTTTGGTTTCCCCTTGTTTCCCCTAATAAATAGCAAAACAGTGAGTATTTACAGTTACAAATGCAAAGTGACAACACTTCCCCTCTCCACTGAATCAGACTTGTGACACAGGTCAGGTGTAGTTCAGGTCAGAGAATGAACAGGTGATCACTTTGATAAATGTTGTGACTGAAATCACAAATGGACAAGTTTCACCTGTTGTTTAACTTTGGGAAACAACAAACTCTGACCAAACTGTCCTGAGCTCACTCACTCCCACTGTCGGTGCTGCTCAGACAGGTGTAACTGACCCTTACCTGGGCCTCCTCAGGTGTGTTAACCAGCCCACACTTAGTTAACTCAGGCCTCCTTGCTAACGGCTAAAACTAGCTGAGCTAACTGACTGAGCTCAAGTGTTAGCCAACACAGCTAACACACTTTAGCTCAGTTAGCTAGCTATCATTTCACCTGCAGTCCACTTCTAGCACCAGCCAGGTGTTTTGACTTGCCTCCTACCTGTGGAGGGAGAGTTGTATCTGTTTGTGAGGTAACAAGTTTTATTTTCATTCTGCCTAAACTTGGCTTTGTTTATCTTCGCTGGAAGTTTGCCAACAGACCAAACTGTCAGCCATCCAAACTTCAGTCCAGCCGCTCTAACGGCTCTTTAACCCGGTCCACAGGTGAGACCGGTGACCCCATGGGGACTTACTCGTAGGTCCTGAAGATTTCGTGAGTGATTTTACAGAGGAAGACTTCCTCGTCCGGTCGCAGGTCCGCCGGAGGTTTCTGTCGGATGAAGGCTTTTCTGTGGAGAAGCGGCATCTCTCAGCTCCGCTTCCACCGGCCGCACTTTGGAAAGAAAATGGGGGAAAGTGGGTCACAAGGACCGAATGTCAGACACACACTCTGTCAACACAAACCAAAGTCAACCGTGAGATTAAAACCGGAGTGCTGAAACGAAAGTAACGGAGAAGCCACCGAGCAGAAGCAGCGAGGAGGCGAGCGGGTCTTTTGTTAGACGCGGTGATAATCTCCCCACATGGAAGTGTGCTCGTCACAGTCTGCGCTCACATTCAAACTCCGGCAGCCCATACAAACACAAACACACCGACCACGGACACACACCCCCAGTAGAACACAGTAGGAACAGGTTTCACACAATCTGTACCGAGTTGTATAACGACGAAGAGCTAATCCGCGGTACAAAGTGAAGAAGTCGTCCCCGTCTGAAAACTCCTACTGGCGGCTTGTTGACCAACTTTTCATCCACTTCACGGACCGAGACCGAGCTGGGAATTTTAAGTGTTTCGTTAGTTCGGTTGTTGTAGTGAAATCTACACTAAAGATGAAAATGTGGATATCTTTTTTTATGTCATTGTAAATTTGATCTGTGAATTTCTCACCGGGGATCAATAAAGTCTGCTGATTATACTGCGTGTATGCAGCTGACTGTAGACACTAAAATGATCCGGATGCTGAAGCTAAGCAAAAGGTTCATCCATTCCTTCACAGAGCTTCGGGGTTGAATGAAATGGATGCAGAAGTTGTAATGCTGCTTTGGTTTAAAGGATAAGGTCGGTCATTTTCTATATTAACACTATTTTTAACAAACCCCATACAGAGACAAAGCAACACTGAACTGCATCTACATAAGGTTAATGTCTGTCAGGCTCCCACCTGAATTAGCTGATGTGTTGAAACACACGTTTCTTCCTTGTGAAACATCAGGTCCGCATGTTGGTTAAAAGCTCCCAACGGCCATAAGCTTTATAGCAAGAGCCAACTGCGCATGCACGAGTCCTCCTATGGCATGAGAGGGGATTTTGGAGAAACGATGACAATTTGGGAAAATCGGGACATTCTGGAGACTGGGACACTTGTAGAAAGTAAGGGCATTCC